TGCTACCCTAACTTCAGATCAGATGTACACCTACTTTTGGTGATGTGCCCATATAAAATTGTTTTTAATGACAATGCCCTCCTCGCCCTTTCGTCTTGTTTTCTTCACTGTTTATAATTCATGCTGCCGATAAATTTTGGGCCGGAACTGATAATCTTGAGATGAAACACCATTGTGAATCATCACCAGACCGGAAGTGAGTTGAGAAAGCCGTTGATCTTCTGATGAATCAACACATGTGGGGAATTCGAATGCTCGAAAATCACACCACGAACACGGGTCGGGCTTAACCCATTAGCTGACAAATGAGCCATTGTAGGATTACTGCTATGTATCGTATCCTGCGTGGTGTGGCCTTTAGGGTTAATCCTGTTTGAGATGATTGATCCACCTAGCTGTCTGGTTGGCTGGGGCGCGGATCGCAACCGGTCACGTGATGTGCGGCGCCATGTCCAAACAGTCAACATCCATATTTTCAGCAACAGTCAATGCATCGCGTGAAAAGTTCCCATCCATCCGTTCGGTGGCCGATTACGTAATAATCACCTAGACGCTTGTGTCACCCAGAATCCATCCCCCTTTAATTAGGCTTAGCTGGTCTGCTCGACTAGTGGGTGAAACTAGAATGATCAGAGATAAAAAGTTTCGGATGATTACCCACGTTTTGGTGGCTGCTTATCTGATTAACACAACTAACACAACATTTCTAATACGCTGTCACGTGAATCCGCATATAAATTTCGCATTCTTTTTGTCGAAGAATTCATTGACTGTGCTTACTAGTGAACGGTTTAAATGGTTGGACAGCGGCACTAGAGAATAGCCAGGCTGGCATTGCTCAGAATAGTTAAATGGATGTGCAGCATTTAATCAATACTGATCGATACTAATCGACCGCAATCGTCTCAGATATTTGTCCTCCGTATCCCCCTAGCCCATGTTGCATGCAGTATTCACACCGAAGTACGCGGAGGCTTCTGTTATGAGCAAATGTTTTTATCACCAAAGGACCCTATAGTCGCTATCAGTTTAACATTTTTCTGATCACTCATACATCTTTTGAAAAATTTCTCTTCCACTTTTCCACTGGTCATCTTGACGACAGGAAGGTCTGACTGACTACCCCTCTTTGGTGTATTTAACACTGACTGACTAACACTGACTCGAGAGCAGAAAGCGGGATTCCGGCCTGGTAGGGATTGCGTTGACCAAATCTTCACACTGCGCCAGGTGCTAGAACAACGCCATATGTATAAGCGACCCACAATTCTAGTGTTCCTGGATTTCCAAGGCGCTTTTGACTCGGTTGACCTGTCTGTTCTGCTTGAAACGATTGCCCACCAAGGAATGTCCCGGAAGTTCGTGAATATAATAAGCTCTTTGTATTCCAAGACTTCCGAACGTGTGAAAGTATACGGCGAGCTCTCCAAAAGCTTCCGCACACAAAGCGGTGTCCGTCAGGGATGCCCACTCCCCCGACTCCTGTTTAACGTTGTGATCGATGAAATAATGAGACGAACGCTGAAAGGCCTCCAAAACCCCGGTGTTCAAATAGTCTGTAACGAAAACCTTTGTTGATCTGGAATATGCAGACGACATCGTCTTCATGTTGGAAGGAGAGGAGAAGGCGCAGGCGTTTTTGGATGAACTGACCAAAGTCTTTTTGGGATGTACCCACAAAGTGTAAGGTCATGATTGTGGATGTGCAGTCACTAAACATGTCACTTACAATCCAGGGAGAGATACTGGAAGTTGTGGAGCGTTTTACGTATCCTGAAAGTTGTATTTGTTCTCATTGTAGTGTGACAGATGAGATCAATGCACGAACCTGCAGGGCATGGGTCGCGCTTGCCAATTTGAGACACCTATGGCGTCAAAGTGGTGCATCCCTGAATCTCAGGGACGTGTCTATCAAGCTACAGCGTGGGTTGTTTTGTTGTATGGCGGAAACTCAGCCTGTTCGAGTAGCGGAACTGAGACGTCTTTAGGTGATCGAACATCGTTGTCTCAGAACCATAGCTAGTGTAGTTTGGTGTCGGAGAATCCGTGACAAGGTAATTAGAAAGCGCGTTTTCGGTTGTGCAACCGGTACTTTTATTGGAAATGTGTCCAGCACCAGAAGCTATGTTGGTTAGGACATGTGTTGCCTATGCCGAACCATCGTTCGTCGAAGAGAATGCTTTTTTCAATGCCCAACTCGGAGTGGTTTAAGCAGAGAGGTGGCCATTCCTTGACATGGCAGAGTGGTATGAAGGAGGCCCAGCAATAAATCTACCGATTGTCACCAAACTTCTTCGAAAACGATATTACAAAACGTTTGGGTGCTGCTGGTGCTACTGGCCTTCCAGGAGTTGTATCCTCTCTGCGCCTTCTTGAGGGTGCTGTGTGATATAGCTGCTGATCGATGTCAGTGGCGTTCTTGTTGTCACTTTCTATCCAGACTGCCTGAATGAGTGTCTGGAGGCACCTCGGAATGAGTGTATTAAGCTAGTCCCTTCTCCATCCACCTCTATTATGTTCTTTACAATAAGTATTTCAAATAAATCATGGTAGTAGGGCAGTGAAGCATCGGTGTTGAATACTGATGTCATGCTGTCGATGATGGTGATGATGGTGATGTGTTGACCGGTTAGTTCATTTCAAAACGCTTGCGCAACAGGATGTTTCAGAAGTATTCACCGGTCTAACAAGTAATATCGGTGTCCTGAATCATGGGGTCTCCGTTGCGCAGCCCATTCGTTTGAAGGTCACTTTTAGCTGCACTGGTGTCTCATGTTAACACCATCTCAGCTTGAGAATGATCATTCAAAACCACAAAAGTCCATTCTGTTAAGAAATAAGATTAATGGTGATTCACAGAGAGCGCCTAACTCATGGAATCAGCGGTTGGCTGTCGTGATAAGTAGTTTCATTTCAAGATGGGAAAACGTAGCTCACTTCCCCTAGCGCGTTGTATGAGACGGTTTCCTATTCGTGGTGGCCTTCTTTTCATGTACAAGGTTCACATACATACCTGTGCGATCCTTGGTGGTCACCTTGACTCACTGGGTGTTGTGTGGGGTAAACAAGCGTCATGCACCATAGTTTGGTGTGATAAATGTGAACACAGGAAAGAAACACTGTTCTACCCCCAAGGGACCTTGATACATGCTTTTGAGGGCAATGTGGAACGTGTGGCGCTGTGTTCCTCTGCAGACCCATTGGACATCAGGACGACACGGCGAATCTTCTCTATCCTCTGAAAAAAACACGGACGCGTCGGATTTTGGGGCGCGAAGCTTCACCACACTGCTATTGCCGTGGTAACTACCTGGTGTGTGCATGTTTCATGCAGGTGTGGAGACAATGGGTGGAGGAGGGTACGGCGGATCTTAGTGGGTTGACAGCACGCTCAGGCTCTCCCACCCAGCCTCACAAGCAATGAACAATGTCTGGCGAAGAACGTTGCAAATGTTGTCGCTGTGCCTGCGTGCGTGCGTACGCACCTACACACAGATGCGGCAACAGACTGTCGACACCCGATTTTGACAAACTGTACATTTGTCTTCGGTCGCGGCACGTACAAGTAGACAATCTGAGACGAGGTCGCGTGCTTCCCAGACCCTGACTGTTATGGCCCAGTTGATCTGATCGTGAACCTGTCGTAAATAAACTCTCCTATGCGCTCTCGCAACGAAAAAGCGAGTCTTCTCTTCTCCCCAGTATGAATCTGGGAAAAAGTGCGGTGATATTTTAGGATCCATCAGGTGTGGAACAGAAAAATTTGCCATGTCAGCTACTCAGTAAGACGTCGTAGAATATTTGCGGAGCGCTTGGATTAAAGGATGCTGGGAGCTTCTGTGCGTTCTGAAACTACTGCAGGCGCCAACCTAACGGGGGATGAAATGACCTGTTCGATTGTGTTATCCGTAAAACTGACGTTGTGTTATCCATATCCTCTGGGTGGGTGTCATTCATATGGCGGTTTATCTTCAAAGCCCTCAGATTCTGTTTTCATTCTCTACCAAACTTCCAGATTGCAGTAGCGATCTGGTATGAGATAGCGGTAGGAACTGACCGATACTCGATGATTATTTGATGGGACCTGGAGATGCTGTGCCTGCTGACGGACCCCAAATGTATGACAGGAAATATCTGGTTGCATCTACAACCCAAGGCACATTGTAGTGAGCACTTTGACACACTCTTGCACAGCGCGAAAGGTGCTCACACATTCTGACCGCTCAGAATTCTGGCGAGTTTTAGTCGTTTTGCTGAGTCACGCAGTATGTCCCGCCGATGCACCGTAACGCACTACAATCCGGAGATACGTCAGCTGATACATGCCCTTCGTTTACAAAGTAAGGGGGCAACCGCCAGTACTTGATCAGGGCAACTGAAAGTGAGTCGATTAACACGGCTTCGTTGATCGCTAGGTGTAGCGTTCCAAAAGAAACTGAGCGATTCATGTGTTGAAATGAGCAAGACAACCTGCTCAGTGAATACAGTGACCGGATCAGGCCAGCATCCAGTCCCGTTCACCAGTCTTTTGAGTCGTTGATTTTTAAAGATTAGTTGGCGAAGCACTGTTGTGTGCGGCGTGGGCCAGTGAGAGGACTTTATACCCAAAAGTAGTCTGTGATCGGAAAAAATCAGGCTTAACGTAACATCCTCCTCGGCTGACGTGGTCCAGTGACCTTTTCAAACGAACCTTCGTACGAACCACTTTGTTTTCATTCTTAATTTATAATCTTCAACACAATTAACGAAGTTTCCGCATAGCAATCGGTTTAGAGTAAAAACCAACCTATCTTTTCGGTTTCACTCCAGTTACACCAAATGAGGCATTTCCCCCGTTTTTTTGTCTAGAGATAGTATGCACACCATGTTATATCTTTTATCCTAAATTCCTCACTTTTCAAGTTTCAGAATAGACCATGTGGTCAATAATGTAAGGGATTACCGCGGAGATGAAAGTATCGATTCCGAGAAAAATGAAGTACTTGAACGCAGTTACTCACCTGTCGTTCGGTCAAATTCAGGGCCACAGATATTTCATAGCGGCGCAGACGTGTTAAATAACTATGCATCGAGAATTCTCGCTCAAGTTCACAAATCTGCTGTTTGGTGAATGCTGTGCGTTCTTTTCGGGTTCGACCAATCGTGTCCCCCGAGTCGGTGCAAGTAGCATCGTCCTCCTTCACCTCTTCGTCCAAGCCATCCTGCTCAAATCGATTCAGTCCCTGTTCCATCTTCAATTGATTCCATAAGTGAGAATCTGGGGATTTGGATTGGGGAGAACACTGAATTGGAACGTTCATTTTATTGTATTTCTCATCCACTTGTGGCACTTTTCCCAACTGACCGGTACGCGATCGATTATCACATTGATTTTGGTAGTTGGTGGGTTTGGACCAAGACTGTTTGTTGATGGGGTCCTGAGATAACCATAGTGATTCAGCGGGAGGGATCATGAAAAATGTTGGATCAGCGGAAATCTGCGGACAGGGAGGTGTCAGGGAATTTACAGCATCTGCCGCCAGGGTCTTCCGAAAAAGCACTATCGGAGAAAATTGTAGAGCGAAAAAGAGAGAAGGACAGGTTTAATTATTGTATCTAGTAAAAAGGAGGGTTGTTTGATGGATTAACGAAGGACACCACTATAATCGTTCCTGATTGGCGAGTAAGACTACTTAGTAACCGCTGTGAGTAGTAGAACGAGACTACAAGTGTAGCTATTTGTACGCAGTAGTGATATCGGTATCATCGCTATTCCATCTGTTTGCACGCAGTAATGTACCGGAACAGTGTCACGGTTGAAAGTTTGGGTAGCTATTTGTACGCAGCAGTGATATCGGTCTCATCGCTAATATTTCCATCTGTGGATAGGCTAACGCGTATTCGGATGGAAGTGCAGATCCATCCATGAGGCACACAGTATCACCTCAGTGAAAGTATCAGTGGTCATCTTAGATTGATTGAAATTGATCGAAACCGAATGACTGAAAAATGATGTCCCTGAAACAACCACTGTGGGAGAGAGAGCAACAACTATTTGGGCTGCCACTGAGGCCTATTGCATCTTTGAGTTTCTGTTCCAATTTATTCCTCATTTGCCTTTACTCAAGGGAGAAACACCCACTATCCTTTCCTAACTCCAGACTCACGGAGTCTTGCAGACCAATAAGCCCAGTTGATATGCGAATGCGTGTATTTGTCGAGATCAGTCCAATATGATGAGCCCGAAACAGAAGAGCGAAACCGGTCGTGGGCTGTCAAGGAGTTTTCAACAACCTTGTGAGTAGTTCCCTTCATTGAAACTATACTGCGACATCTCGAATATCATGCCAAATGAAACATGAGGTGGCCTTTGGGTGGCGCATTCAGTTGAAGGATATGATAAACGAGAGATTCAGTTGAGTCTCCTATGAAAACCCAGTTGATATGTGAATGAGCGTATTTGTCGAAACCCTATAAGCTCCTTCGTTATTCTTAAATACCACGCTAGAGTTGAAGGCTGTATCAGTCTGGTGTTTTAGACAATCAGTTTGTTTGTCCGGCAGTCATGTGAATTTCGACACCATCGTTACGTGGAGGACAACTCTGGTGAAGCTCCTCTCTGCGGTCCTTCTCCATACGGCTCCCACTGTCATTTCGGTGGCTCCTGGGAATCCGTTCGTCTGCTGCCTGGCAAGCTGGATGTTGGGTACAACTTTTGTACAGATCATCTGCGATGATCTATGGACAAAACCGTACTTTTACTTTTATGGACGTTCTGAGTAACGACATTCATTCTTTATACGTGAAATGTCACTTGAGACAGAAGAATGTACTGGCATTTAGAGTGGATGGTACGGGGGGAAACAGACATAAGTTACTGTTGCTTATTCAGTGTAATTTCACACTGTAAGGAATGGAGAAGAATATGTTAGTGAATTTGCCGACAACTCTACGGATTACTTGGGTAGAATTGTCACTTAGAATTCTTGACACGGCCACATTTGCCAAAACATGAGTTTATGCGAAATGCGCTTCGTTACAGAACACTGAGCTGGGTATGACAGTCGGTTAGAAGGTTGATTTAACCGAACGTCCCTGTTTCCTTACTTTTTCAGCTGCCTGGCTGTCATGCCAACGGAAGTAGGCACGAGGGCTGGGTTACTGCCAGCTACAGCGATTCTGTGTCACGATGGTAAACTTTTCATCGTTTCAGACGAGCTTGGTAAGCAATCGGTAGTTTTCATTTGGGCGACGTTTCGCTTTTGACACAAAAGCTTCATCAGACCAAGTGAACAGGTCACCAGGCCAGGTTATGAGACAGACGGGGAACCAATCAGTAAGTCCTCTTCACACTAGATCAGTGTTGAGTTTCAATTAACGGCTCTTGTCGGCTAGTGTGGTTGCCAAAATCTTGAATTGATGGGTTGGAGGAGTTTCAAATTAGTGAATATACACTCATTTGCAAACTAATTTGGTTTTTTTGAGAGACTCACCCGGAACCCAGCTGAATCTCTCGTTTGCGATTTTTCCAGGCAACTAAATGTGCTGAACCAGGCCGCCTCATGTTACAGTCGCTACGATATCCGAGATATCGCGATACATGTATATCTTTGTAATGTACTGCTCCATTTCAGGCTGCCTCATTTGGTGATTCACCTCGGGTGCCACTGGTATATTTTCCTTGATCTTTGTGGGCCTGTGAATGTTGCGACAAGTTAGTTGGGGGAGGGGAGGTGTTAAGGTTAAGTGGAATCCAGATGATGACTACCCTTCCCTCTGATAATCGCACACCGACACGTGTCAGATCGACTGATCCAAAACCGTCCTCCACACGCTTGCCAGTTCCACGCCTTCTATTCTGTTAACACTGGGATGCTTGGCGATTTCTACCGCCTCGGCTATCAGTCTGTGTGACGTAGACCGTAGCCCTCGCTTCAAAACCTCAACACTTTCTAAGTCTGTTTTGTGTCTCCTGTCCAGTGCGTGTTCTGCGATCGCCTTTTCAGTTCGTCCTTTCTGCAGTCACAAACTAGAGCCCTCAGCGAATGCTTAGAAGTAAGTTAACTATCGTAAACCAGTGACTTTTACCGTCCTTTTATTTTGATTCACCCTAACATGTTTCATTAGCAGGATACACTACACAAAATGTTGTCGAAAGCCCTTCCACACCCCGTTACCGATTTCGCCCTTCTTCGGGCTCGTCAAACCAAACTAGCCCAGGGTTTTCTACCGAAATTATGTCTTACCTGAGCACCATATTGTACGCAAAGGACAAAGTACATTCATCAGCGAAGAAATTTGCTAAAAAAACCACGCTGCTGTATCCTGAATGTCGTGGCAACTGAAACATGAGGCAGCGTATTCAGGTGAATAATACCATGAACGAGAGACTCAGTATTCTTTGGTTAACATCAATGAAAACTACAACTGAATGTATTTCTTCAAAAATTAACATTGTTTCCTGGACAGCACACTCAGATATGAGGAGCTAGACTCGCCGTGGATTATTCCTTGTGTAGCATCGGGCTTGATTTGTTAGCAAGCACATCAGTGAGCCCACCTGGTAGAAACTTCATTTCATTCAATTTCCAATTATTTTTTCATTAATTTTATAGTGTTTAATGTTTTGCGCGGTTCCATGACCCGCGCAATTATGAGAAGAGATATCTTATCTGGCGTTATCTAATCTAGGAAATAATTTTGGCGCCTAATTTGATTTTATCGGCCTACCGGAACGGACAGTCCATCCCACCATAATGCGACTGCCTCACCTGACTGATTGGATTGTCGCGCTTAACACGGATATTATGAATCATCTGATGAGTGTTATCAACTTTCCCAAGGTCCAACCTTGTGATCCCCACATAATTCGTCTCAGTATATGTTTAGAACCGCAATCCCACTGTTCGGGACCACGTGCAGGAAACGCTGGCCCCGTAGGATTGTAACGCAAGCCCTTAACTTAGGTAGCATTCGTTCAACACTTGAGCGGTCTTCTGTCCGAGGCCTCATATTTGATGTTTGTGGATTAATTCGTGCTGCTGCCAGCTTTAGTTGCAGTCAGTGTTGAATAGGCTGTATTGTCTTTTGGCGGGTGGTGCTAAGGTAAGAAACCAGTTACTCCGCCGATCCGGGTGTGTAACAAGAGATTGGTAAAGAAAGCATAATACGCCCCTTGTATTGTATCTGCTTGAGAGAGCCCCCACGCTGAACACAGTGTTCTGGACATTCAAGTTGGGAGAGGAACATATACGAAGGCTTGCCCACTAAGATGCAATGTATTATGTCTATTGTCTCTTGGACAAGACTTGAACCAATCCTAATGGTTCTCCTGTCCGGGGTTGGACACCCTTATACTAAGTTGGCTGTCACAAATTTACGAGCTACTTCGGCTCCGCCTGAGGCTCAATTTTATCCCCGATAATTTAGGTCCAGTAGCCATTGACCATAACATAGATGAGGATGAGAATGATGAAACAGTCCATTTTATACTGCCATCTTTACTACTCAGGATAAACGATGAATCGTTTTAACCTCTCTACCCCAAATTTCCCATGCTCTCCATTCGGTACTTTCACCGTTCTAAATAAATGCATGGAGTGCATAAAATAGGGTCTCTTCGTTTCATCCAAGTCATACGATTTGACTTCCATCTCATAAAGCTGACTCAAACTGTTCGGCTGAAAAGCTACTTTTTCACGCATCATCTCCATCAAGAGCGCATTTATCTACTGAACTTTTAGCCATGAATTGGCACAGATCCACCTCAGAACATTTCGTTGGAGAACCGCAAAGGAGATATAAATTACTAGAATTCTTATCCAGATAGGAAATATTCAAGTGACCACCGTTTGGATAAGTAGCGCTGTTCAGGAATTTGCCTTAAGATCAAGTCACGGTCAAAAGCGAAGCCCAGCTTGTTTCTCCCCTACACAAAATAATACCTTGGATGGTACGGCCACGATGATGCCATGATGATTTCCGCATGACATTCTCCCGCCACTTTCGAAGACTGAGATCATAGTGGAGGCGCTCCACTGGCATTTTCTTTCTGTTCCGATTCTTCCATCGTGATGGTGTCTTCAAACTGTTCACCTTAGCATCACACTCTTCTTTGACGATACGCAAGTCTGATGTGTGCTTCTGCATATGTTTCAATGAGTACTTGAGATTTCTCCTTATAGATTAGCGAATCAGAATTGATGTGGCTAGAACTTGTTAACCAGAGTCTAATATGGTGTACCGTTCCAAAATCAGAATTCATGGAATAACACATGATCTTTCTCTTGAAAGATGGCGGATCATCCTAAAACTGGTCTCTAAGTTACCAAGCGCTCAAATTAACTTAGGAGTTTCACCTGCTTTGCTAAACGAAACAATTGCGATTAGTTGTCAAATGCACTGTGAAACGAAGGGAGCTTACCAGTTTCAGAAGACAACCAGTCTGGTGATCGCGGCGACATCCAACATTGTTCCCGATGTTCACGACCAGGAGGTTGGTCATACATGGCCAGAAGACCATTTGTCCTGAACGGGGAGACGCCAGCCTGCATGCAGTTGGAAAAATGGCTCGCATAACGAACGTTTGGAACTGACTGAGCAGCAGAACTTGTCAAATGAGTTTGATTCGATTTCGGTGTTTGGATCCGGGGAGATAGACTCCGAAGTCCGGAGGTGCAAGATTTGATCCAAGTAACACTGGATTGGCGAATAACTGGTGATGATTGAATATGTTCGGACTCTTTGTGATCTCTCACAGCCCATGGCATCATCCTACCCAAATCGGCTGCACATGAAATACAGTTATGCGTGGAATTTGCCGGTTCGAGATTGACCAGTTTAGTCACATCACTCAAAGTTGTGCGATCGATAGGGTCGTTAAATGAATAATTTGCGAAACTGCACGTTAGGTTTGAGCTGCTGTTACCTTCGGAACTTTGAAAACTGTCGGTATCCTGAGTGGGTAAATCCTCAGAGTGATCAACAATGCCCTGTCTGGATCCCGATAGAATCGTTTGCTTTGTGGTGCTGTTGATTGGTGGTTGCTCTAGTCGAGGTGGAAACCGAGCGATTGCGGGACTAACTTTGCTGAAAATGGTCGGCAGATCCAAATCAGTCCTTCCCATTGTCACACCGGTGGGGTTGAACTCGTTTGACCAAGATGATAGATGTAGGGCAGAGTGTGGGTGGATGTGGTGTTTGGCGTGGAACGGGCTGTAACTAATCACGTCGGGCATTTGTGGAAGTTGGTGCTGTGTGCGTTCTTGTTGAGTACGAACATAGGTCACAGTCATGGCGGCGGGTTGATACAACGGATGAAAGATGTCGGTGGCCACAGAACGACGGTCCCAAGATGACGAATCATTCAGCATCTTTTGCGGAGAACCGCGTGGAACCAATTCGGTGGTCCAGAGCGAATTGTTCGTCTGCTCCTCGGTCTCTTCGGCACGCAGCGATGAATGTTCAAAGCGAGCTATTCCACGCGGATCTAGGCAACGAGATTGGCATGTAGTTGCCATGATTCTGAAGCAACAGAGAAAACAATGCGGAGAATGGATCCCGCTGATTTAGAAAATATCACGTAGACCAAAGACACGAGTGACAAACGTGCAAAAATCCCTTTCTCTGAAAGCAGCGATGATCACTGAGGCACAATAGGGAAAGCGCTATGGATGAAAAGGGGAATAAACGGACATCGCTCTGTGCGCATGCCTACCTGTCTGTGCCCAACATACACAGACCGCTGTTGTCCATACACCATCGGACATTCTAACCGCGGAATTGGAAATGATTGGTCGACGGTCATTCACCACTACCACCACCATCCCTATTCAGCCCACGCAACAATGAGTTGGGAGAGAGGGACCTTCCACTAGAATGAATCTGATTGGCACACATTTCAGGGTACCGCCTTTCCAACATCAAATGAAACACCCGAATAACATCGGAATCAAGTGGAAAAAGTTTCGAACCGATTGATAAGTCATCGTTTTTAGAAGGACCTGGTAAGAAACTGGTGAAACATCGGAATTAATTTATTCAAAATCGACAAGGTTCCCAAAGGTGTTGAAATTGGTTCTTCATCGTGACGTAGTCTTGGATGCATGTTCAACCCTCCGCCAGATAACCTACAGTCTTCTAGCTCGATGTGATCAGAGCTTCTAAGGTGGTTCCTGGGACGTCAGTTACTCTCTGATCGATCGAAAAGAGCAAACTAAAGCTTGTCAGCGGGAATGGTCTTTTTGAAAGCATTTGACAAACTGTAGAAAATAACAGAGAGATTCCCATCAGGTTGCTATCGGGTTTGGCTGGAATCCTGAAAATTTATAGCGCACCAAATAGCGATAGATAGGGGATCAATCATTTCATCGGTGTTCGAGGGAATTAGGTTTACGCACCTCCTCATCTGTCATTCTACAGACGGTTCCGCTTGCGGCGAGCTAGTCGGCAGTCCCCAGCCTTTGGTATGCCTCTTACAGATGCTGCCCTACTCCACAAGAATCATCGCCAAAGTCTCCGAAGTGATGGTCACTCGAACTGTAAAAATGGTTGAATAATTCGGCAGATTCATTTTCGACTGTGTTGTACGGTTTGTGCTATAAACTTATATTTTTCGGGAGAATTAGAAGGTTGTATCAGGCGAAAAGATTCTGAACGAGGCTGTCTTGCCTTATTTCTTCCAAATGTCTTCGTGTGTGCCACTGTGGCGCTTCGCGATCGTAGAGCAATCGTTTGGTGAATAGTGTTCAATCAGGTGGAAAAACCCATCGATCACGCCCAGCGGATCTCATGTCGCGGGAAATGGAACTTCTTACTTGCCAGTTGGGTGCATCTGGGGGACGGAGACAGATCCTGAGCTTCCGTCCCTGGCGCAGTTCTTCAAAAAGTTCAACGGATTTCCATATGCGAGGGCGCCAATCGGGTACACAAATCGATTTTCAGCTGATTTTTGGTGAGAACTTCCAGCAACCTGATGGAAATCTCTGTTGTTTTCGTGGGTGTCAGATGGCTTCAGGAAAGCCAAGTTCGGCGACTTCTTGGCTCTTCTTGAGACATCTTGGACTGAGTCCTTTCTCCCCTGAGCCACCTTAGGAGCTCTGATCACATCAATTTGAAAGGCTGTAGATAATTTAGATTGATCACATAAAGGTTTGAACATCCCCCTAACAGTACGTCACTGTGTAAGACATTTGTCAACATCCTTTTTTAATAGTGCGCTTGAAATACACTCGGTCTTGTTGCATAGAGCACACTGGACTGAACAGTCTTCGGTGTACCGAACGCGTCATCAAGTTCTACTTCGAAAAACTGTGGTGTAAGCAACCGATTGGATCACCAGATAAATGGTGAATTTGAACGACGTTAGCCGATATCATGAGCACGCGTGCTTGGCACATGATATGGTCAATCTGTTTTTACGTGTCTGGTGCTTGATGGATTTCTTTCGATCATCCAGGAGACACCGAATATCCTCATTGCCGCTATGGGGTGATGGCGCATCCCCTCGAGACTTCTTGAGAAACCGAATCCATTGCAATAGCGTAAAACCACTACCATTGAACTTTGTTCAAGATCGTGGAGTAAGTAAGTCTGGGTCCGAACTCCGGAATGCCTTCGAACCGTGAACTTTTCTATCCGTAGCTGGTGCCTCAACTGGCTGGACTGTCTTGAGCTGTTCCCAAAATCGGGTGCACTTCATCCCACTGTGTGCTTGGAACAGACCAGGATGTATTTATACAATTCAGAAAAAACAGCACATAAGATTTGACAAAACAACTTTCCGTGCTGAATTGAAATTTGCCAGTCAGCGCAAGAGTAACGGCTATGGAAAACGACTGAAGGCGTATCGATCCAAAATACGAAATATGCCGCTGCCCGTTAGTTCTATCAACGACGTACCTGATTCCAAGATGTGTCAAGTTAGCTTGCCACTTCTACTTGGCACACCTATCTTATGCCGGAATTCGGGCGAAATTTTAGCTTTGAAAATTCAGACCGCTGCCGGCGAATCACAAAGTCCGCTCTAGAGTTGGAATGTCGAACGATATGCGTGGTTGGTGTTGGCAAGAATTTAACGATGGATTGACAGTCAGTCATAACGTTTTTATCACTGACAGAATCCGGGAGAACTATTCAACGGACAACGAATAGAGTGTTCGAGTGTCGTTTCTTCCCAGTATAACTTTAATTTTCAAGGAGCAGAAGTGGAATAAAAGACCTGCATGGTGACCGAAGACGGCGCCAGTCAGAAAAAGGAAAACTCAAGGCCAGAGAGGGTTGTCACTTTATTTCAACACATCAACGGATTGATATACTGCATGGTCACTAGCTTTGTGGCTGTCAGATTTGTGTGGGAGCTCAGTCCAATGGGATCAAAACTTTGACATGAGGAAACCGATGAAATGGGTCGTTGTAGAGAAATACTCGCTATAAACGAGTTCAAAAGGGTTAGAGCGGTTTTAACACTACTGGTTGTTGGCCCATAGTGACAGTACTGATGAGTGCACAGTGAATATGCTGAACGAGGCTATCCGATCACATCCAGTCATCAAGGTTGACTTTTGTTAAGACACGAATGGCCTAAATTAAGACTTTACGAACAAGGCAGACCAAAAAACTAGTTAGTATGCTGCAAATTGGGTTACGATTATTGTGAAAGTTAGTGGCGTGGTGGGTGTGGCAGACAATCGTCATCATTCTGCTGGGGAAGCATCAGAGTGCCCATTTGTTTTCGTGGCTATTTAAACTGCGTTGCATGGACCGCGACCCACAGTGGGTCACGCTGTCTTGCGTTTCCTGCAACTATCCTCAATTATCTGCCTATTATATATATATATATATATATAT